GCACACACACACATGCAAACACACATACATACACGGACATACGAACACAACAGACACCCAGCAGCTGGAGATCACGGGCTACGCCATCCAGCACCTTCTGCAGTACTACACATCAGAACGCCTTGCAGCTGCCGCCGGCGTCGCCCCGCGCCCCGTATCCCCGGCCGCCGCGCCGCTCGCGGGCCGCGCTGCACCGGCCGCCAAGGGCGCGGCCGCCGCTGCGGCGGCCCCCACGGCCGCCCCCGAGGCGCCCGCGGCGGTGGGGCCGTCAGCTGCGGCCTCGGCACAGGGCAGCCTGTTCTCATTCCTGCCTGACGACATCCAGCCGATCGTGGCGCCCTACCTCACCACAAAATTCACGCTGGGGGCGCCCAAGCCCAGCACGGACTCGCTGAGGGGTGGGACGGGCTTCGAGTCTTGGCGGGAATACTGTGACTGATGAGGGCAGCCAGCACCTTGTCGAGCCATTGGAGGACGGGGCGTCGCTGTCAGCGCGCCCGCGCCGCCTGCTCTTTGTCTGTTGCTGCTCCACGGCGCCGGCCTGCAAGCAGCTGCCGGTGCGGCTCGACCCAATCCCTGCACCTGGCTGCCGCCCGCCCACTGCCCGCGGCCCCTGCGTCTTGTTCTTCCACGCGCAGCCCCGATATTTGGCAGCCATCCCCACTCCTTTCGTCGGTGGATGCACCTCTGGCTGCGGCGCCTCTGCCGCCAGGTGGGCACGGTGGCCTGTTGCAGCGACATCACGCACGCTTGCCCCTGCAGACCTCTCCGTGCTCTGCCCTTGTCTTTGCAGCGCTCAACGACAACACCACCCTTCCCAACTGCCCGTCGCCCGCACCCGCCGCGCCGCAGTGCCGGGGGCCCCTGGCGGAGGCCTTTGCCGCGACGCGCGGGGCCATGGGTTACGACGCCCCACTCATGGCGTCCATGCTGCCCTACGCGGTGGGTGCAAGCGCAGCGGGGGTATGCAGAGGCCGGGAGTGCAGGGGCTGGAAGTGGTTGAGCTGGAGGCGGCGGTGCCGTCGCAGAACGGCTCCCGGGTGTGCATGCTTTTCAGCGGGCCGTCTGCAATATGGACGAATGCTGCGCCGGCTTGCTGCTGCCGCCGCCGCCCCCGCGCTGTGTGCATTATGGACGAATGCTGCGCCGGCCTGCTGCCGCCGCCGCCGCCCCCTCGCCGCCGCAGGTGCTGGATGCCGCCGCGCAGGGCGGCCAGCCGCGCCAGCTCGTGCGTATGGAGATGGCGGCCGTCGCCCAGTGCGCCGCGGGCGCCGGTGCCGGCGCGGCGTCCCCCGGCCGCGGCCGCGGCTCGCCGCCGGCCGCTGCCGCAC